TAAGATTTACTATAATAACAAAACACAGAATACATCCTCATGTTAACTGGTTTATTTCATTTTATTTTCATCAAATTTAATAATTTCATTCGATTCATTAGGTATAAAGTATATGATTAGGATAAGGTCTGAAGATGCTTACAACGTAAATGAAAAGCTTTACTAATAAACAGTATAAAAGCTTTATTGTTATTCATCCTTTGATCCACAATTTAGTTTGTTCTGATGATTTTTTTTTTCGATTTACATATTCCTCCTTGAAACACGAGGCAACGGTTGACTTTTTAGGTATTCAAAAATCTCGGCACTTATTAATATCAGGATTTCCGATTTTTAATACTAATGGACACAGTTTAGCTTTGCTACGTCGCGTGGTCCTAAATTAGGTATTACATTTCAACTGATAGTTGGAATTGCTCGCCCAAAGATCGTTTATTTTCGTGTTTTTGCAAAGCAGGTAAAAAAATGTTTCCCAAGTTTTTGTTGTTCACCTCATATATTTTTTTAGAAAGTCACAAAAATTGATATAAATTTTGAAACGACCACCATTCCACAGGAAATTCTCCTTTTTTTTATTATTAAAAAAAAAATTACCGATAGCTAGATCATATCAGCACCAAGCGTAAGTAAAATACAGCAACACACACTCAGTACACAGTCACACCAATAAATACATTCACACGTATATACGTACATTGACCGCACTCATTCTGTTAGGTAGATGGAGTACTCGATATTCCTCCACGTGTTCACTATAATAAAATAATCTAAATTGGGGTCGATGAGGTACTTGTATAAAATTTCCGCCAACAACCCAAGACATAATGCATCATCCTGTGGGGCGATGGAGAACTCGCCCCTCTCCATTCACCCCAATAAATACATTCACTCATACAAGACCCAGAAACACAAAACGCATAATTTAACTTCTATGTACAATAACAAAACCCCAATTCCCTTAAAAAGCGGAACAAGTACCCTGAAACTCGCTGCTGTGTCCGAGAACCCTCTTTAAATCTGGCGGCATGCCTACTCGCGCCCTGTAGGGAGCCAAGGCACGACACGCTTCGATTATGTGGGACATATGGAGCAACCTTTCTCTGCATAAGGGACACCTGCGGGGGGATTGGCCAGCCATGTGTCAACCGCGTATGACCGATATAATTTTTTCTCGGCTCCTAGAACGCTGGAAGTTTGAGAGTGCCTAATATTTTTCGATCCAGTGTCTCCGAAAAGTCGATTATGCTCTCAAGTTGCCTAGATAGCCTGAAAGTAGAAAAGTTCAGCTTTCCAACATCCCCGTGGACATTGGATAAAAACCTGATGAATTATGAATTTATTAATTGAAAGATTCGCTCAAAAAGATGTAATCGCCCCTAGGCAAATCCGGCCTCAAAAATGTCGTTTTTCATTGCTTTAAAAATTTCTATTTAAAAAATTTAAAGAGTGCTTAAAACTAATCCTAATTATTTTAATTATTTATATTAAAAAAATATTGACTTTACTGGAGACGTCTTTTTATTTTTTGTAAGTTTTATATGTATGTGTAATCTCATTTAGTAATATCCTGATTATTATTGTTATTATTATTATTATTATTATTATTAATTTTTAAGGGCGTTTTAACGGCTAAGGTTATTATTATTATTATTATTAATTTTTAAGGGCGTTTTAACGGCTAAGGTCATTTCACGCCCTAACATCCAAACCTTCTATCTTAGGTTAGCTATATCTCTTCTGAGTGCTATAAAGCTCTGACTCCAAACATTCACTCGTAATCTTATTTATCCTATTGCCATCCAAGCTTTAATTTTTCTTTTNTGTTCTTTGTGGATGGTTTGCAGCGTTTCTTGCCTGCTGATCAGCTTTTTCATTTCCAGAAATGCCGACATGACTTGGAACCCAAACAAATATCACATGTTTGTTGAGTGTTCTGATTTCATAGAGATATTTGTGAATTTCTAAGATGTAAGGGTCAACCGAGAATTTATTTTTGATTGCTTCGAGACTACTTTTCGAATCAGAGCAAATAATGGCATTACAAATTCCTGGCGATTCCTTTATAATGCTCAATGATCTTCTGATTGCATGAAGTTCAGCTGTGTATACGCTAGCCTCATATTATTGTTATTATTATTAATTTTTTTTTTAATAGACTGATATATAATTAGCTTGAAATAAATGACAAAACATATTGAAAAGATTACTTAAATTAACTTTAAAAAATTTCTTGGCTCCTAGAGTTCATTGGCAAGAACGCTATGTACAAGTGACTAATATTTTACCTCGACCTAGTATCATCACAAAAAAATTAATAAATAATTAAAATTGGTGATACCAAGTCCGTAGCCTCCACTTGTAAGGCAAAGAGTTTCTAAGTCATTATTTATTTCTAATTTTATTACTTTATTTTTTAATTTGTATCTTACTTACTTTCTGTTGTAGTAACAGTATAAGGTTCAATTGTAGATCGCGATTGTAGTATTTTATGTACTGCTTGTACATTATTATTATTATTATTGTTTTTTTTTTTTTTTGCTTTTGGGGTCCTAAGGATTATCCAATTTTGCACTTAAACTTTCGTCCATTGCCGCGGTCTATTTTACTTACTAATATTTTGTTTTTAGTCTACAATTCCAGAAAGTCTCAGTTATCAGTTGAACCGTGATAATATATATCATTTTAATCTATGTCTTTACATTTCACATTAACAGATATACAACGTGTAAATGTATTTTACAAATAATACAAATAAATTGGATGTGTTTAAAAAAGTTCAGCGTCTGCTGTGAAACTGATGAATCATTGATAACAGAATAAGATTAAAGTATTTAAAAATATATATATATATCATTTTACGAAAGGCATGGAAGAAATATTCTCATCGTTGCAGATACAGAGCCTTTAGTCAGGCCTTTTTTATTTGATCCTTTTTATTTCCCTAGATAAAAACGTCATAAATCCTTAGGCAAGAGATTATTTCAGGGTTGGTCTATGGTTGAGTTTGTTTGGATAAACCCCCCCCCCTTTAGATGTAAAATGAATAGCTAGTATAAGCGCACCTGTCATAAATTTTCTATAATGCCATTCAATTTTTATTTTACAAATATATCTTCAGTTCTCTTAGTTTATCATAAGACTACAATTGTGGTTTAATCATACGCCCACTCCTTTCTTTGAAGGATTTCTGCGCAATATTTCAACATTATGGTTTGCCATTTGAATTTCTTTTCCTTCAACGGGCTTGACATTTTTCAAAGAATTAAGTTATAGTAAGCAAGGAACGATAAATCGTTCTGCATACGCCACTCGTTCAATTTTGGTATAGTAAAATTAGCGGTACAAAATTAGCGTTTACCGGGCCGATGAACGACAATTTAAAAAGCTTATCTGTACTCGAAATCGTATTAGTAAAAAAACAATCCGTTCAAAAAGTTAAAGTTAATCATGAAGAACAGAATTGCCGCTCTCCTGATTCGCTCATCGATCTGTATCAATCACATCTGATGAAATCTAACTTTGAAGTAATGTCAAAATATCGAATATTTTTACATATAATAATATAAACATTAAATTAAAAATTTCTACATTTTTCCTTTTAAAAAAAGGTGAGAATTTTAATACACGACTTAGTACATAGGTTTTCAAGACTGGAAGAATTTTCTATTAGCGTCTATTTTCGTTTTTACGCCAAACATTTAACATTCTGCCGTCCAGGTTGAAATTCAGGCTTTAAAAAATACCTTTCAGTATTTAAATCCTACCAGGATATGATTTATTTATTATAACAGCATCTTTAATAAAAATCTGTTGTTCTTATGCATTTTTGTATGAAGAAATATCACGCAATATTAGAATTACTAAGTGCTAATTAAGATATGCATCTAATAAAATAATATTTAATAAAATAAAGGTCATTTAGAAGGCTGTATATCCCCTTCCAGCACGCTAATTTGATATATCATTGGTAATTAATTATATCATTAATAATAATTTATTACCTTGTAAGAAAATTCAATATCATAATATTCTGATACAAAAGGTTCAGTAATTTTTCAATTCAGTTTTGCACAATTTTTTAAAATTTTAGTTTCTTTCTTTAAAAAGAAAATATGTATTTGTTACCAATTATTTTCTATTTAGATTGATTTTTGCCCTTCAATCAGATAACATTATCTGTCATTAGTACAGCCCTTGATTTGATGACTATATTATTTTAGTGCAGAAATTTCAGCAAATTCTGATATCAAATTAAAATTTTGCATTTATTTTCCTCTATAACACATGAAAAGTCATTAGGGATATTTTATATTTAAAGTATAATTAATCACTCTTAAACATTTTTCCTTATAGATATAATTTGTCACTGGAATCAAGTAGCGAATACAGAACTGAGGCTATATTTTTCACGTAAAATACAAATGTTCATGGTATTTTTTTTATATAATATCTTTAAAAATTTATCAATCAAAAAATCTATCATATTTAAATGTTTAAGAATACTAGGAATTTCGATTATGAGGTTATATTGCCTTGGGTGCCACTGTTTTTGAATTAAAAAGGCCATTTGTATGTAAATCTTTCGTTGTCTGTAATTTTAACTTACAGTGATGAGCACCACATCAGCGCCTTAACCCTTGCAGCCACTGTCACCTCTTTATGTACATCATATTTTGTAATGTAATATTTAATCAAGTGGCATACATTTTTTTAAATCGTAAGATTTCTCTATGTGGTCTGCCTGACGAGTTTGTCTTCTCATCCTCTTATATGCTTGATAATTGAGAAACCTATAACCAAAACACATCTGACTAACCAAAACACCGAGGTTAGACTGACCAAAATGGTCAGAAATGCCCCAATTAGGTGATAAGTGATTCAAACTGAATCTGCCTTACTCATAGGAACTTGTATGTTGGAACAGTAAACAACATTATCAATTAAAATGTTAAACAGCATAATTTTGATTTATATTATATGCATTGTTTTTTCTCTTGCAGGAAAAATGGTTCAATAAAACATGATAGAGACCTAAACAACTCATTCTACAGCAACACATCTCTGAATTCAAGGTATTGTATAAAAACATTTATCTTTGTATTGGTTAGACAGAAAATTTTCATTCAAAAGGTTTATCGATTTGAAATTGTCAAAATTAATAGATCCATTCTCTACAGAAATGTTCTGTAAATTTAAGTTGAAAATTGGTGTTCATGCTTTCCGTCTTATCTAGTTTCAAAGATTTTACACACGTACAGTTTACACTGTGATAACAAAGATCATCGTAGCAGTAATAAAACATTTATTATTGGGGGATTTTCACATTTTAAAACAGTACTAATTGAGCCTGGTTTCAATTTTTATTTTGTACATTCATCGATTCGCATGTTTCATTCTCAAATTAGTTGGAATCAGAAACAAATTCAATCATTATGTAATTGACAATTGTTCAAAATATTTCACCATTTTTAGTTGAACCTATGTATTACTCAGTAGTAGTAGTAGTAGTAAAATTGACATAATTTAAATTGACAGTTTACATTTTGTTATCTCTTGGCAAAATTTATTATTTAAAAAAGTGATTATCTGGTGATCTAATCTCATTCTTGAATTTTGTTTGAACAGTTTCTCCCAGTACTTTGATACTTTGGCCTGAGTTGTAATTAAAGTTAATTTAATAATTACAGAAAATCTTCTTGGGGATCAAATGAAAATTACTTAACTTCATACAGTTTATAAATCAAAAATAATTTTGATTATTTCCCTAATTAGTGTTTCTCTTAAATTTTTTCCATTATTTTTAATTGTTATTATTGCTATATTATAAATATTGTTTATTAAAATTTGTTGACTTTTTGATATATTGGTGGTTGATGAGGGAATTCAGTCAGAACTTTAGTTTCACAATACATGTATTTAATGGCTGATGTCCTTTTTCAAGACGGAACTTGAACATGTAAGTTTTATAAGACCTTATTAATTTTTTTTACCGTACCAAGGTGGTATGCAAAGGACTTTTTTAGTTTAAATGTAAAAGCTGGGTTCTATTTCTCCATTGCGGGCTTTACTGCCAATTGGAATGGAGAGGAAAATAGTCATCATACAAGGTCTTGTAAAACTTATATGTTTAACGCGTTCCTTGAAGAAGAATGTAAAACTTTGTAAATGTCAGCCAATAATTATATGTATTGAGTAAACTGGAAGTTCTGACTGAATTCCTACAATAACTACCAATAAATATTGTTTTTAGACAGTAGTTAGCTTTGTTGTTTTACCAAGTTAGACTATTAAAGTAGCATACAAAAAATTATTTATAATTTTGCATGAATTTAAAACTTTCACTAGTAAAATATTACAAATTAAAAATTAAACAATTTTAATATCACTATTTAATCTATTCAGGTATTAAGGGCATGTTTGAATGTATTTTGTGTCACAATACACATTTTTAATATCTGGCTTTCATTCTCTTACACTGTGATGTTTATTCATTAAATATAACCAATTAAAATTTAAACAAAAATTATTTGTTTATATAATTTTATACTTGATTTTTCAAATCTTGTACCAACCACAAACAAATTTGAATCTTCTGAGGAATGAATTCTCACCAAATGCCTCCTTTTACTGTTAAAGTGACGTTTCTAATTGATTTCTTTTTGTTCTGCAAGACTGGAGGTGCACAATAGTCACCACAATGACCATTCAGAAGGCGTTACGAAGAAGGTACAATTAAAAAGTTAATTTATTTTCTTTTGATTCCCTCAATAGGGCAGGTCGAAGGCTATGAATAGAATAAGAGTGGCAGTGGGGCAGACGCTCCGGATCGAACTTTTTAAACGCCTCCTGCATAGTGAACAGGGAAATGATGAAGGAGTTATTTATACACTCAAGAGAAGCCGTCTGACTCCCCACTTCCTCTCACTTTTCCCTGCCTGCCCACATTAGTAATCCACCCAACTCAATATTTCGTTGTTGTTGTTTAGAATGGAAGCCCACCCGGGACTGTATTTAACTACTACAAGCAGTTCAATGACTATTGGAAGTGAGTAAAATAATTAACAGTGTTTTTATTTTGTGGTGGAACTCTGTTTCACATCTAAGTGGTCCCTGTGTGGTGTTGTTATGTGATCGTCCACATGGTTATTATGCCTTTTGCAAGCATTTATTATAGGTGAAGTATACTTTACAGCTATATAATGTGTTATAATTAAATTTTAATTTCTATTATAATTAAGAAAAACAAATTATTACTTAATTTACATGGAATGTATTTATAAATTTACTTATTTCTTACACAAATGCATGTTAATTTTTAATAAGGGATTAATTTGAGAAAAGCATGTGTCGGCAGAATTTGCTTGCTTGTACATTTTAACAATGTTGGTTAACAGTGAGTAGGAGTGAAACTTTCTCTAATATTACAATTCAAGTCCACTCTTGACTGCCCAAAATTACTCTAACTGTTCTCACTTCTACATGTTTCACTTATATTTTAAAATAACATTCAAGTAATATTAATTTTTTTCTGCTCTTGTTTTTAAGTGTTTTTCCAAAAACCGATTTCACATATTCTCCCACATCAATGTATTACGGAAAAGAAATTGCACCTGGCATACCTATCATCCCAAATCTGTCCAGGAGAGCGCTTTACAAAACCAGCTCCAATGGCGACAGCTACAACTACAGCTTTAGTGTTGCACCAAGTAAGTTTCAACGCATTGAACCCTCACTTGATGGAATTATTTTTGGAATAGGGAATAAGCACCATCATGGAATTAGGTTATTTATTACTTTGTTATAAATGGCTACCGCTGGTATAATTAAAACTATCTGTCACTACTTACAAAAACTTTTTTCACACAAAGAAATTTTCTTCAAAGATTAAAGAAAAAAATTATATATTTTATTAAAGACTAACTTATTAAAGATTCCCTCTTCCAATATATTCTGTATTTATTAAACAAGTCAATTTTAAACTGCATTTTTGATGTTTTTTAGGCCAAATAAGACACCTTAAGAATTTAAGGCATGTTAGGCAATCAACCTGGGAGAAAGTGGTTACAGTCATCACAACTGTGGTGACCACTACAATCACCATTGTGACGAGTATAGTTTCTGTAGCGTCTGAACCACTTGTTCATCCTACAAGATCACCTCGAAGAACTTTCTTCTTCTTACTCGCATTACTGCTTCTTCCTTTACTGTATTATTTGTATTTTTGTGATTTAGGTAATAAAATTGAATTTAAAAAACACTATTTGATTGTATTTAATTATATATAAAATTTTATTTTATTATATAATTTTTATTATTTTTAGAGCAAAATGAAAATGAATCTTTAGTAAATAGACTGAATCGACTGAACTTCATTGATAGGAGTGTTTTTAGTCAGGCCTTGGAAATTTTAAAGAGGCCACTGCTATGGCTTTATTGGTTATTTGGAGAGTTACTTTCTTTAATAATAAACACCATCTCAATGGTACCTGCATTTATAAGTCAAAGTTACTATGCAACATCAGCCTATTTTATTGCTATTTTCAATGTACGTACACAGTTTACATTTGTCATTTACACTACTCTTTTTTTTCTTTTTTTTTTAAATTATTATTGACTTGATTTAGAACCATTCTCACACCGCACCAGTCACATCTCAGCCTGTGGGAAAAGCCCCTTCAGGATTAACCCAGAGTGTTAAAATCGATGCACAAGAAATAAGAAAAATAGTTGAAGAAGTACTAGCTGAAAAACAAGGAAGCAGGGTTGCAGAAATAGGTGTAAATGACATGAAGGCAATCGTAAAGGAAATTGTTCTAGAACATGAAGAAAAGACGAAACAAGAAAACCTAGATACTGTTGTTGCTAAGGCGAAACAAATAATAACGCCTTTATTTTCAAAGCAGGTAAGGACACTCATATATATATATATATTTTTTTTTTTTTCATGATGTAAATATACATTGTCTGTTTTAAAATTACAGGAGAACTCTATGGAGACTTTTATGAAAGGAATAAACGAGCAAGTAGGTAATATAGAAAAGTCGCTCGAAGAACAAAAGGAGGACATAAATACGTTCAAAGTAAGTTATTTTCCCTAATATAATTTAAGAAAAGAATACTCTCAGGGGGAAAAATGTTCCCTGTGGAAATTGGCTTTCAAAAATGAGTTTTCTTTTAAAATTAATGTACATTTGTACTACACATCATTTTGCAAGTACACTAGGTAAACATGATACAAAATTGAATGAGATCACACTTCCAATTTAGTTTGTAAGATTTTTTTTTTGTTTGTTAGTTTACTACTTTCTTTTAAATTATCCTTACAACATTTGACTCCTTGCCATTAATTCTAATGTAAAAATCTGTTTGGAGAGATATTGTTAAATAAAAAATAATAATAAAAAAAGTAATATTAGGTAAGTAGAAGGTAAGCAATAGGCTAATTGAAATGTAATTGGAAAGAGTGAACTGTTGATAGTCCTCGGAAGTGATGTCATTTAATTTATTTTTGTTTTTGTTGATCACAAATTGTTGGGGAATGTAATATGTTATCCATTTAAGATTTAGTGGTTAATTGACCAAGTAATTTCTTTCAATTAATTATTCTTTTTATGTAAAGTTTTGGTTGAGATAAAAAGTCAGTATCATGAGCGGGAAAAGAGGGAAAATTCGAACGGTTGTAGGTTGAGAGGATCGAAGCTCAAATGGCAGAGCAGCGGCGTATTTAGCCAAAGGTCATGAGTTCGAAACCCGCTCGTGACACTGACTTTTTTATCTCAACCAAGACCTTACATAAAAAGAATAATTAATTGAAAGAAGTAATATGTTATGTTTGGATCTAGTGATGTAGTCCTGCTGATTGTTCACAAGTAGGAATTTTTCAACTTAGACTGATACCAAATTTGTCTTGCTTGTATAATCGTGGATTTCGTTTATAGATTTAGGTAATTTTGGGAAGCACTTTACACGAGTCCGACTTACAATATCCCTAATAAGTTTTACATCTTTTGAGGTAATTTTATCCACCAAACTGCTATCATGTTGAACCTTGGCTATCGATTTAGAATATTCTTCATACTTTTCAACAGCTTCATGCTTTACAGCATTATTTATCTTTTTCTGGGTGCATAGATTAGTCGAATGTGAATGAGTACCTGTTTCTTTAGTAAAGAACATATAAACTTTAGCCTTAAATGTATATAATGTACCTCCACCTACCTGATTTGAAAAATTCCTTTACCAACAATTACAAACTTATTTTACTAAACATGAATGAATGGTGAACAGAGACAGAATGATCGTACTATTTATTTTAGAAGTAAATGTTAAGTTTGGATAGGTTGGAGTCATTGTAAATAAATAATGATGATTTCCACGGTTAGAGTGATGTGTGATGAAAAAATGCAAATTAAGCAAGAAATATTATAGTCCTAAAACTGTGCGTGCTCAATCCTGTTGTGACTGCTAAAAAATATAAAATTTATTCTAAGTACTTGAAGTGTAAAATCTCATCTTGAGTGTAGAATATTTGTTTAAAAATAAATAAATACACTACTGCATATGCTATAAAAGTTGTGTTATTTCGCAAAATTATAATGTTGAATTGTATATGCCCTCATTGTCAGTTCTTGAACACAGCTGGACGTCCAAAAGCACAGCTTTCCATATGATTCAGTCCATCAACATACATCATTGCTTCTTACAAAGTGCATGTGAAATGCCCAAGGTCGCATGGAACATCATTGGACAAACTAAAATGAAAAAATCTCTCTAAGTTTCTCCATATATATAGGATTGCTGTTTTTAACATTTCTATGTCACTGTACTACTTGGCAATTCGTATAGCATAATTCTACAACTTCCAGGTTTCTTCCCAACAGGAAGATGTCCTACATGGTACTCAGAACTTTTGCTTACATGTGCATAGTGCATCTTGGCATTGTGAATATTCTGATGGCTTATGCTCCATAAGCCATAAATCTCCATTTTAAATTTTTTTAAAACCAAATTGGAGCAGCCCGTGCTCTACATCTCAATTAAAAGAACTTACTGTTTATAAAAATGATATATTTCACTGATAATTAGATAGATTAATTTTTTTTTCAAGGCTTGAACACTCACTTCATTTAGAAATGATGAAGGTGAGGTGAGTATGTAGAGTCACTTTTTGCAAATGATCGTTTTACTCACTTATTTGATATAAATTGCAACACAACTAAATATTATCCTAATAAATACAGTAATAAAATAATTTTAAATTAGTGATTAATTTGTATGTCAAATATTATTTACGTACATGTTTAAAATATGAGATAAATCAAAATATATGAATTATGTATTTATCTCCATGTTTAATTTTACATTTTTTGAAGTCTTTTCGGAGGATCTACAGAAGAGGTCAAACACAGAGAAAACTTCCTTTCAGTTTTCTCTGTGTTTCACCTCTTCCGTAGATCCTCCGAAAAGACTTCATGTTTCCAGCAGGTCGGTCGATAATCTAGTTCATCGTTACATTTACATTTTTTATTTCAAATTTCTCAAACCAGTTAGCTGTCAAACAAATTTGTGAGTAGAGGCATAATTTAAAAAGTCATACTTCATGTTCTTCTCATTTCTTTTGTTTTCTAACTGTAACCCCCCCGATAAACTCGTTGAAATATCCGTAAATAATCTAACTTTTTTTTTCCAGCCACAAATTCAAGATTTGGAAGAGAAACTGACAACACAAATGCAGCTGTCGACCCAAACATCAGGTATTTTTCACTTATTAAACTTGTCTGCAATAATTTAAATTTTAGTAACTTTTATTATTTTTTTATCAAGTTATTCTTAATTATGCGTGTACTCAATTAATTATACACAATTTTTTCGATATGAAAAATTGTGTCACTGGCAGAATTCGAACCCACGACCTTTGGGTGAGTATGCCGCTGCTCTAACCATTTGAGGTACTGTGACTTAGATCACCCATACCACATCCAATAAACGGGCAGTCGAAATTAAGTTTATTATAAAGTTAGTTTGTGACATGGCGATTGAAGGCTATCGTGACTTCAATCGCTCATGTCACAAACTCAACTTAATTTTATAATAAACTTAATTTTGACTACCCGTTTATTGGTGTGGCATGGCGATTGAAGTCACAGTAGCTCAAGTGGTTAGAACAGAGGTGTATTTAGCCGAATGTCATGGGTTCAAATCCTGCCTATGACACAAATTTTTCATTCAAAAAAATTGTGCATAATTAATTAAGTTTAAATTTTATTGAAAATTTTCAGGCCTTAAAAGTATCGATTGGACGAACGGTTCAACAGCATTGTCAGGGGCAGCAGTAAGGCAAGAGTTGGTTGAATTAGTTGAAAGTGCCCTTTATAAATATCATGCTGATCGCACTGGAAAAACAGATTACGCCTTGATGTCAAACGGTAAAATTAATAGTGTTTTGTAAAATTATTGTTAATTAATTTGCATTTTTTATTTGTTCATAGGTGGAGTGATTGTTAGCATAAGATGCACGCAGACGTACAGGAAAACACAAGGAGTAATGACATTGTTTGGTTTCAGTTTTTGGGAAGTTTACAACACACCAGAAACTATAATTAAAGTATAATTTTACCTGCAATGTGTTAATTTTCCATTTTACAAATATCTTTTTTTATTAATTTAGCCCGGGATGATGCCAGGAGAATGTTGGGCCTTCGAAGGCTCAGCAGGATATGTAGTTATAAAATTGGCAATTCCAATTTATGTGACAGCAGTGACAATAGAGCACACTCCTAAAGAGCTAACACACCATGGTCACATCAAGTCTGCCCCAAAGCAATTTTCTGTTTGGGTAAACATTTACAAGTTTTTATAATTTGTATATTATTTAATGTATTTGCTTGTATTATCATATTTTATATTTTATCTTCATATAGACGTTGAAAGATGTAACGGACGAAAATCCAGAATTCATCGGAAGATTCAAATTTCTAGATACAAAAGGAAGTCTTCAGACATTTGACACAAAGGTTTATAAAAGTTTAAGGTCAAAGACAAAAATAAAAGCTTGTTCTAATTGTAAATTTAATTGCAGCCGACGTCAGTGCCGAGTGATTTAGTTGAGCTGAGAATTGAAAGTAACCATGGCCATTTGGAATATACCTGCCTTTACAGGTTTAGAGTTCATGGTATACCAGCCAGTTAAACCAAGAAACGTGCATTTCTTAAAATAAAAAGAACAGCGAATAAATCTTAAAATTCAGATCTCAACTCAATTTTTTTTTTTGCTACTAAGATTGTATTTTGTAGTGCAATATGAATTAAGTTTTATTGTTTATTTAGATAAAAAGTTTGTACAGTTTGTTTATTTTGTCTGCTTGAAAATGTGGATAAGTAGAACACTCAATTATTTTTAGTTAACTTTTGCAAATATTAAGTTTACAATTACCTCTTCCTTATTATAAAACAACTAGTCAATTTAATTATACCAAATGGATGGCAGAATAAATTAATATTATTATTTTCAGAAAACTATAACAATAGATATAAGTTGTTAGATTTATTTTGTTTTACTAAAAATTAAATAAAAGTAAATCTGAAGGTTCTTAAAGTTTAATTTATATGTAGTTGTCCTCCTGAACACATTTATCAGGGTTTTTTAATTTTAAATCTACTATTTAAAACTTTCTGTACCAAATAAAGTCTTCAATCAATTTAAATTTGAAATTCCATATTAATAAAATCCTCGTGCCTTAAAATAGTAGAATAGCATAAATTATAATTTATAGTACCTGTGTTTAACCAATAACTCGGTGCTATAGGATTAGGGAATAAATGTGGAATCTTTCACCGGTGCACGTGTTTCTCTCTTTTTTTCATAAACAAGTTAATTAATTACAAGATTTTAACAATAGTTTACTTCAGTCAGATAATTATTTGCATAACTTTCAAAAATTTCACTTGCCTTAACATAAAATGTTGGACAACATTTTTCCAATAATTGGTCTCGGTTTTCATATTTATATAATCTAATATGCTAAATGAGATCGTCTAGTCATTTCAATAAGCTGAAGTGTTTTATTTTAACTGTTTTTTTCCTTCGAAAAGGAACTTGGCCTTGATGGTTAGCATCGTACAAGATATAAATGGCTAATCCCACCAAAAGATAATGAAATTATTATTATTGTTTTGCTTGTTACATTTTTTCTATTTGACTTTTGATTAGTTTAATGTAATTATTCAATATATCATAACATTCTCAGTTAATACAATGATGAAATTTAATTTGATTGCATAAATTTAATTGTATTAGTGCAGTAAATGCAAATATGTTCATGCCACTTAATTATCAATTAGATCATAGACACATATTGACTTTAACTCACTTTAATAATATAGAAATTGTTAGATGTGCTTTTATAATTTTTTTCAAATTGTTTTTTATTTTTCATTTACTTATTTCCTCACCTTAAAACCATTAACACTTCATTCATTATAAGAGTTACTACTTTAGTACAAACAATACTATAATTATAAATAATGGTTAATAATAATAATGTGTAAATACATGTGTATTTTATGGTGTACATACATAGAAATAAATTAAAATTGGCCTATAGAATTATATTGTACATAACTTTTAAGATTTTTTCTAGATTTTAAATTTTGTCCAATTACCTTAGTTGATACATTGATTCGCCATTACTTTCTACATTATATAGTATTCATTTGTAACAAATTAAATATCTTCCTATAATTATAGTTTTATGAGATGTAATAAATGATTGATATAAACGTTTTTGTGTTTGTTCTTATCATAGGCTTTAACTTATTATTTAAGTTCACTAATTTCGTGGTCCGCTTGACCAATTAATATATTACAATTAATTAAGGTTTTTAGTTAAGATAAAAAAGTCAATGGCACGAGCGGGATTCGAACCCGGTTAAGATGGGAAGTTAGTGTCCGAGTGGATCGAGGTCACGATAGCTCAAGTGGTAGAGCAGCGGCATATCTAGCCGAAGATCGTGGGTTCGAATCCTGCTTGTGCCATTGACTTTTTTATCTCAACTAAAAGCCTTAATTAATTGTAATATATTAATTGGTCAAGCAGACCACGAAATTAATGAATTTAAATGAAGTCTACTTCACTAAAGCTCTCCGTGGCCATTTCATTAGTTGCCGAGAATCCAATCCGATTACACGACATTTGAAAAATGGCAAAAAGGAGGGCAAATTCAAAAGATGCGGTTGAGATGGGAAGTTAGTGTCCGAGTGGATCAAGGTCACAATATCTCAAGTGGTAGAGCAGCAGCGTATCTAGCCAAAGATCTTGGGTTCGAATCCCGCTCGTGTCATTGACTTTTTTATCTCAACTAAAAACCTTAATTAATTGTAATTTATTATTTAAGAATAACTGTATTATTTATATATTATAATATATACCAGGTAACCAGGAAAGTTTGTGCGGTTTTTCATTTGCTATTGTTTTAATACCAATAATCGACATTTCGGTTTACATAGAGGAATTTTAGGAACGTTTACATCACGTAATATGAGAGGATAATGCGCCAGTTCATAAAGAAAAAGTGTCTGAACAGATCAGTGTAAATTATGAAATATTTTCTTACTCGTGGATTCAAAACAGATAATCTGTGCGTGCTCAATGCATGAATTACTTGGGCTGCCAAGACAAATCGTAAAATTTTCACTGTGTTCAGTGATGATACAAATAAATGAGTGCACTGCCCAAAGTGGGTTAAAACTCCACACAACAAAGCATATTTGGTTTTCAACAATACGGGATCATTTGGAGACATCCAATGGTATGACCTGGAAATGTCTACTTACTAATACTGCCCTGCCAAAAAGTGGTTCAAAATATTTGCGTCTAGGAATGAGGAGATTGAAGCCGAAGATCGTGGGTTCGAATCCCACTTGTGGACCTGAACCAACCTTCAGTCTTAAATGGTGACAAATTGAGGATAGATATCAGATATCTCAGTGCTTAACATAAGCGATGAAACTATTCTTTCTAGATTACATTGATTTAGGAAGATGTAGAAGCTGAGGAAATGGGTCCCTTATAACGTTTAGGCTAATGAAGAGTTAATATAGAAAGAAATATGATCTATTGGTTTAAGATCATAACAGTATCCAATGCAGGATGATATTAATTTAAAGGCAATGAGCGGTTGCCACAGTCTAAGGAAAGTGCAAAAATAGCACTACAGTAAGAGAATAAAGGAAATAATATGGATTTAATAAGGAGAAAAATAGTTTTCTGAGGAGTGAAAGAGCTAAGGCATCAAAGTCAATTCAGTACATCTTTTTAGTAAAAGAGCTCTCATGGTCATGACATGTAAGTTTGGGGTTTAAAATAATGGCGAGATTTTTAACTTTAGAAAACAAAAATTAACAGGGTTGACATGAGGAAGTGGGTAGTCAATTAATGGTTTTTTGAAAATTAATAATTGGATTTGTTAAGATTTAAAAGAATGCTGTTATTAGTTAATTATTGATTGAGAGAATGAAGATGTGCAGTGATAGCTTCAGAGATGTGGCTTGTGGTGAAGGGGGACTGTCTCACTACTATGAAATTTTTGGAAGTCAGTTTAAAAAGAGGATTTAAGGGGGGTCAATAAATAAGGATATTTGTTTAAATAAAATTGTCTCAAATGCTTTAGACAGTGATGGAAGAATACTAATAGGGCAGTCACTAGCAAGGGTTAGTGAAGTAACTATAAGGGCTTCCTTCTAAGCTGAAATAAAGCAGGATGAGGTGAGAGATCAAGTTCAAAATTTGGATTTTGTATTTTAAAGGAACAGGAGGGGAAAAAATTATGAGTTTATTAGAAATAAGATCGGAACACGTAGCTTTAGATTGAATTGAAAGGATGGTTTTTAAAGCTCAAAATATGGGTAATATTTGAAAAACTAAAGGACAGTTTTTGGCGATCTAGTTGAACAGGAATAGATAACTAGTACATAATACTAGTACATAGTTTTATACATATTTTATAATGGGAGCATGTTGTCAAAGTTGTTTTGGTTTTGTTTAAAATGATTTTTGTACATTTTTAATAGTTATTTGGAAGACTATTTACAGTATTTAGTTGGAAAGTATAACTGTTTTCGGGGAAATTCAACTTTTGATCTGGCAACATTGTTTGTTATTAATGACTCATACTCAAGTAGTAAAGACAACCTCAAGTCAATCTTGCTCGATTTTGTTATAAGTGAACGCACTTAGTGCTGTTTTTCTTTTTCTTTTATTATTTATTGTACGTTAAATTAGGTTAAAACAATAAAATCTAGGCGAGATGTGTCATTGAGCGGAAGTGTGTGAGTCGATTTCAAAGTATTGGACAATAATTACAGCAAATTGATTCAATTTATTTTTTTTCGTTTGTAGATTGAAAATTTAGTTTTCCAGCGTTTTGTTTTGTCAACGTTAAAAAGACAAACATCGTATGTTGGCAGGGTATCAACGATCGTTTCATTATCGGCCAAATAAATGCAAATGTACCTTAACTACATCACTAGTTTCTTATTTATACTTATTTATTCAGGTGAGAAATGTTTTATATTTTTTCTTCTTCTTGGGGTGATGTCAAAATTGATATTTGGCGGATTATTTTTGTTTAAATTCTTCGGTAATTATTTTGTACTTGTGTTTAATAATAAAGCTTTCAGTTGATACACTGTGATTCCAAATTTGGCTGATGGTTAGTCCGGCTATCAAAATGGATAATATTATTCATATCAATTTCACTTTGCGTGTTCTCTTAGATATCTCAAGAATGATGCTATTGTCACTGCAGTTTCATTATGACATTTTAGCATTTTTACTTGTGTAGGTCATGTAAAGATGCATATTAATTTTGTTCTACCATTATTGTTAAGCTGATGTAGGTTCGAATCCCGCTCGTGACAACAATTTTTCATCTCAATCAAAAACCTTAGATAAAAAGAATAATTAATTGGAATTATTGTTAATGTTAAACATATTACAATTTCTGTTCCTTGTATGTGGTGCGACAGAAAATTTAATGTCTAAACACCCTTTCCCACAAAATGAAAATTTTATGCACAAACATTAAAAATAGGAATGAGGCCAGTTCGTAAGAAAGCAGGAATCACATATTTCTCTTACTGAATGGACATGCTTGATCTTACTGTGAATTTAATTTATAATTGCATTATGCATTATATTGTAAGTTCTGTAATGTTATTATTGACCAGTAATTTTTCAAATTAAGGATTGGTAGTTATCAAGGTTGTGAGCATAAGTTATAAGATATTTATTTGATTGCCAAGCTGTCAGCCTACATTTGACATTCGTCAGCTATCTGAGCTCTGTGACAAGGGAAAGTAAGGTATAAATATCCCATAAGTTGATGGAGGGTGTGAAGTGACCCAGTGCCGGTTCGCTGACTAGCCACAACCTAGATAACATACCGTTCTAAATTTAATATTAAAATTAGTGAGGACAACATGGCCATGTGGTTAGGTTTTACGACTTTACATAGCAATTCTGGGTTTGATTCCCAGTATAGCCTGTAGAATTTCAATTGAGAATAATATGAAAAAATATAAAGTCATCTTGACATCACATCTACGACATCCTTTTGATATTGGGACTTTATGTACAGACAACTAGTTGGACTTTAAGTTCTCCTATGTCTGTTGCCAGTAAGTTTTCAAATTGTTAACCTTGTACATTATTATTAATTGTTTCAAAGTCTCAATAAAGAGATATTACTTGAAAGCTTGATGAAGGAACTGAGTGTTTGTTTCAAATTGTAATTTTATTATGGTTAAACTTAGGTTGAAACCTGGCATACTGATCAAGTTCCTTAATAAACTAGGACTTACCGGTGTTATTTAGCTCTTAAAGGGCGCAGTGTAACATACACCCTGACTAATAATCTACATCTAATCCATAGGTTTCAATATTGTTCATTAGTTAAGAGGACATCAGTGGCTAAGTGGTTAGGGCATCAAACTTCTGTCTGCCATGCTAGTGGTTCTAGGTTCAAATTTAACCCATATTGTCCATGTCACCTAACAACTTTCCAACGTTGTACCTTTGTGAATAGACAACTAGTTAGGCATTAAGCTCGATGATTTTATTATACTTAAACTGTAGATGTCAATGTTGTAAGTTGAGAGGATAATGATAGCTGAGTGGTTAAGAGGTCCAATATACCTACCAATAGAGGTATTTGCTATGCTAGCACTTCTAGGTTCAAATTGAGATATAGCCCACATTGGTCCTCCACGACACCCAACTTTTCAACGTTGGACCTTTGTGAATGGAGAACTAGTTGGGTGTAGTTCTTGATGATTGCTCACAAACTTGATGAAGAAACTGAGTGTTTTCTTCAAATTATTAATTAGGCTTAATTCAAATTCATTAGGCTTAATTCAAATTCATTAGGCTTAAAAAATTGGTTTCAATATTGTTCAAAATTTGAAAGGACAATGGTGGCTGAGTGGTAAGGGCACAACTTGCATTTGCTCCCAGAATAGCCGATATTGATCCCTTGTCCATAACACCCAAAAACTTTTCAATATTGGACCTTTTTGAATTGACAACTAGTGAGGGTTAAGCTCTTGATGATTGCTGGAAAGCTTGATGAGGGGACTGGATAGTTAGTTTATTAGTCACATTAGTTTTTTAATGCAGTGTGTATTGCAAGAGGGCCAATGGTGAAATATTGACAATACAACTATTGTACCAATCAATTAGAGTTATATATATAAATATGGGTAAAGGGTGATAGAGGAATATCAAATACTCAACCTCCCCACTTAAGTTAAATGTACTTTACAACGAAAAAATGTATTTAAGAATGACAGAGCGTGTGAGTGAATCTAGTTTTAAAAACTATATGCATTTTCCCCAACTGCCCTAAAATGACAGAGCTATAGCCTAACGGCAGCAGAACGGATTAGACTGAGGTCTCCTCAGACTGCCAAAACCACAATAAATCATAAACTCAACTGTATTTTATTATTATTGTAATTGATCTAAGATGTACACTATATTGTATAATTTGCTTTTTCTTTTCAGTTGAATGTCTATACGTGAAAATTGAATGCAATGGCCCCATTGTGGTAGGAGGGACTATCACTTTTATAGCTCAACTGTATGACGATAGTGGGTTTGACAGTGAATATGAGTTCGACTGGAGAGATAATGCAGTAATGCATTCTCATGAAGCTAGTGTAAAGTACTCTTTCCACTATATTTAATTGCATTACAATTTTTTTATTGATTATTTTAAAACAGTTAGTAGGTCGCAGTCATTCAATATGGAATGTAACATACGACAAAGATAAATATGCTCCTGGAGAATATGAAGTTACAGTTGTTGTTAAGAAAAAAATACTTATACCATGGCGTAGAACCAGTGCACGAATATCGTTCAACTTAACATGTAAGCATTGCTCCAGTATTATTATCTATGTACAGTGAATCTCAAATCATTTACACCATCTTACTTTTTGGCTCATCAGTTCAATAAATACTTAGAAAATTAAGAAATATGCGAATGCTAACATTATGTAAGTTAAGATATGCTGCAAGGAAAAGAGTCCATTTTTTCTGCAATTACAGAATGGACATAATTTGCTCCATCATTAAAGTAATTTTTACTTAAATAAAGTATCTTTTGTCCTAACAATTGCAAATTTTCTTAATGAATTAAAGTTAAAACCCACTGTTTCTTGTCCTCGACCTGATGATTTTTTCCCCTCAGTCATTATGGTTCGAGTAAAATGATATTTCAGAACTTTAAAACATTGTCCAGTAAACTATATATTTCTTTACCATATGTCCTGGGCTGTTGTTCTTTGATGTCTATGTATACAGGGTGTATCAACTTATATAGTCAACCCATTTAATTTGGAAACGATTAACTTTAGCAAAAAATATACAGATTAAATATTAAAGATAACATTAAACATAACTTTTTCATCTGGGAAATGACACTATGTTATTTTAAATGAGAATCCCATATTTTTATTGTACAATTCGATTCTAAAGCTTATTTTATGGCACTTTTACTCAAAGGAAAATTTTAATACAATCGACCATTTCTGAGTTATGCCCAACTGAAGATGCGTGTGGGGGTTTGCTTTTTGTAACTTATGTAACTTTGTAGCTTTTGTAAGAATCATCTTAGAATAGGGTTAGAATAGGTTGCTTTTACGCTCAGCTTATATTAATTTTTGACAAAAAAAAAAAAAAAGGATCGAGCCCATTTTATTTTTAAAAAGACTCAGCTTTTATTACATACTGTTGCAGATTTGACCATTTATTAAAATTTAAGTTTATAATAAATGCTCAAATACGCTCCTTGATGACAGGAGATCTGGTCGTTTCTGGAATTCTTCATTTATGGCCTTTTCATTATTTCTGAGTGGATTTCTCTGCTATCCACACCAAACATTAGACAAATTGACTGTTTGAATATAGTGCATAACTCAGACATGGTCGATCATATAAAAATTTTACTTGACATTAAAAGTGGCATAAAATAAGCTCTAGAATCGAATTGTACAATAAAAATATGGGATTCTCATTTGAAATAACAAAGTTAGTGTCATTTCCCAGCTAGATGAGAAAGTTATGTTAAATCTGTTACCACCACATGATTCCTAGCCAAAATTTACTTGGGGTTTGTATAAGACTATTATTGCTAAAGTTAATCATTTTCTAATTAAATGGGTGGACTGTAGAAGTTGATGCACCTTGTCAGACCCAATCCTCCAATTTTCTCCTAGAGTGACCATTTACATGGGTGTAACAAATATAAATGGTACTCATTTAAAAAAAATCTAACTTTTTAAATTAAGCTTTCAAAAATATATTAATTTTCTGCATATTCTCCCGTCCTAGAAATACGTTTTTTTTTTTTTTTCATATTAGATTGGGATTTTTTTTTAATTACGTCATCATAAAAACTCTTCGGACATTCTCTTAGTCATTGGAGCACAAATGCTTTTACAGCTTCTTTGTCAAAATTCTGGCCTCCAAGTATTTCTTTGAGGGGTCCAAAAAGAAGAAAGTCAAAAGGGAACAAGTCTGGTCTATAGGACATATCCCATCATATTGCGTCTGCAATTTTTGCCTTGTAGCATTAGCCATATAATAATATTGCTCATTAATTGTTCATCGATCATGGAGGAAGTCAACATTAAAAGATGCTTCATTGATGGCTACAGTCAAAATCACCCTTGGGCTCTCGATCTCAACTTTTTCACAACCTATAGAAAATAGACACGGGTTCTTGGCAGGGTGTTTCCAAAATTTTAGTAGATTCATCCCTCTTTGCTCAAAAACTTGTTAATAATCCATTGCTCCATGGAGACACGCACTTCTTTCTCATTCATGGTTTCTATTGATACTAAAAGGACCTGGTAGAGTTGCAGTTGGTTATCCCCTCTGACTTCTGTAAGAAAATCAGTCCTGTTTATATTTGACACACCCTCGTATATACAGAATTGTCATTAAAGTTAAAATTTATTTCTTGAATAAACACTATATTCTAAGTACTAACGAACCAGTGTGAATGAATCTGTGGATCACTTTATATGAAATAATTAAGAAAAAGGCGTATTAACAAAACTTCTTTTCCAGCTTATATGAATGGGCATATAGATGTAACACAAGGGAATGTGTTACTAAAAGGAGACAATATCAACATTAAGACTGAAGTAGAGCATCAAGTCACCTTGAACGAAGCAGATGAGAAATTATTAATTCCTAATCAGACTATCATAAACACATATTGGTTTAGCGATTGTAAATATATGGGAGTACAAAATGGGCTCACATTTTCTTATAATTATACCAAAGATGATGCCGATAGGCCCATCGAGATTGAGACATGGCTGATCGTTGGGCCTGAGAGCAATTCGACAAACGCAAGCACAACATTATTTAACAGATCGACAAACGAAATTGAAAATGTTACCATAACAAATTTAACGACAACTACAGTCCCGTCTGTTAAAGCATTAAAAGATTGCAAGGATGATTCCATTCTCATCATGGATCCTAAAAAATATTATGGAAAATTCAAGAGAAACATCATTCCAACATGTAAATCCAACCATTGTATAATCATATATATTCATTTTTTTAAAGATTTAGATTATAATGTCTAATTTTTTCTTAAATAAATAATAATATTTATTTTAATACATAATTAATTTAGAAACTTATGGTGCTATATCTCTTGTACAGGGCCTGTGAGTATTGGAAATGTAGAAGGTTCAACATGGTTAAAAAATGGTGAATTGCTCGAGTTGAATGTAACATGTTCTGGTTCGAGCCCCTTCTACCATTGTGTACGTTTTATCAAAGGAGAATACAATAGTACAGGCAATGAAACTTGTGCTAATGCTAGGCAGACACAGTCATGTAAAATTGCTGTAACACGCCTCTTATCAGCCGGTTCACGCTACACAGTTTTGTTTATTATTGGAAACAAAGTATCTAACGCTGTAAAACCAGTCGGAGTCAATATGTATTACGGTATGAATGTTAATAGTTGCTTGTTTATTTTTAATAGAAAAAATGTTTTCTTGCAATTTTCAGAGCCGAAACATCCCCAGCTTTCTGTTATAATTGTGCCAGTTACATGCACTTCTATTGCAGTCGTATTGATAATATTTGGCTTCGCCTATTACATCCAAAGTAAAAACAGGTAAATTAAAAAAAAAAAACAACAAGCAAATGGAACTTTTTAAACTGAATTAAATTTTTCAACAGGCACACAATCGAAATTGCAGACTTTGATTTTGCCAGAAGGAACGATTCTGAGTATATGACGTTTAAAGAAAGGCTTCGAGATGCTATCGGATCAGCCTTTACACGGGTACACGAAGAGTACTCGGAGGAAGGACCAATCGGGAATGTTTGGTCCCCTACAAGAAAGTACGGCAGTATGCAATAAATCCTGCAGTTGGCTTTCATATTTTCCCTACCCGTTATATTTATTAATAATATTGTTAAAAACAACAATTAAAAATGTTTTCATTGTTGTCGTTGTAAATTTATTGGAATTTTTAACTATAAAATGTTATCTGATAAGTTTCACTGCTATTTTATTTAATGAAGTTAAAAAAATTATCATTGTTTTATTTATTTTTTAAAACGTGTCCATTGATTTGACCAAATTCAAATTAATGCAAAATCTAGACTTCTAATTGATCTTTTTTAATTATTGAAAGGACGGTATTTGTTTGTTTAATCTATGAGTGCAACAAGTAGATTTTTACTCGATGATAATTCATTCTCTCCATATCAATAATCTAGGATGAATTTTAAATTATGAAAGTCATAACACGAATTTAAAGAATATCAATTTTAAATTATTCTTAATTTATACACAATGCCTAATTAAATAATGCAGCTTCCTGTAATGTATGCTCACACACTTCATATCACTTACATATTTATTTTATTTTTATTTGTTTATATCACCAACAGGCAGGATGGCATTCTAAACTACTGTTAGACTAAATTGCTGTTTACTAAAAGCCGTTAAAAAGTATAAAATTTAAATGTAGCGAAACAAACCAAAACCGAAAACATGCTTATGAAATTCAGAACAGGTCTTCCTTCTGTAGCTGTTTATAAGTTCATTTCATACCAGTCATTTTAATAAGAAGTAATAAAATGTTAAAAAGTATCAACGCAACAAATTGTATAGATTGTAAAAACCAAAAGTTTATTAAACTTTCACAAACAACAGTATGTCAATTTTAGTCTACAACTATTCCACTGTAACAAAAAAATATATATAAACCAATGACTGAATTTTATATTTAGATTTGTCTATAATGTAGAAAATAATACTTTTTTAACTAACATGTAAGTGCACTTGTAGAAGCAATTACCATTCAGCATTATTTTAATTTATTTAAAGTGTTTTTCTTTTTCTTTTCTTTATGTTTGATTTTATGTTGTGAGCGGCCAATTTTATTTCCAGTAAATTTGTCATTTCTTTTTCCAGAAATCATCCGCGTCAAGGTCTATTGTCTGAATCTGATTCTGAGACACTCGACACCTGAGTTACCTCCGTATCATAAAAACACCTTAAAACTTAACAAATTGAATCTTTTTATTTTATTTTATTATATTTTTTACTTTTTTTTATTTTATTTTTTTTTAATTTAGTTTTTGTATTATATAAATGTAAATTTTCAATATTTCCCAAGACAATAATATGCCCACTAATGGTATCGCTCATTTTGTGTCCTCCATTTCATGACTTTACTTGCATGCTTCATTGCTTAAAGTTTTTAGATTGTTTTATATTATATAAAAGATATATACATATAAATTTCCAAGTCATGTAGATAGTGAAATTATATATTGTTTGTTATTATTTTAATATTGTTAGCTAGCATAAATTAATTATTAGATTAAGTGTGATGTAAGATGTATTTTGTTTTGTTTTTGTTTGTTTTTTTATTAACCTGCGTATTCAGTGTTATATGATATAAAAATTCTGTGATTCATACTTAAGAATTTTAATGTGTAAATTTTTTGTTTTATGCTGTACATATTTACATCCAAACCCAGATATTATGTATATGATGAGAGAGAGAGAGAGAGAGAGTAAGAGTAAGAGAGTATTTAAAACAAAAAAATATGTATGTATAAAATATAGTGCACTTTACTGTTTGTCTTGAGTTGCCTTTTCTCAATACCTACTCTTGGAGAATCTCAATGTTAAAGATACAAATGTTAGATTTGGGTCATCCGGCTCGTTTTTGCCACACTGCGGTCCTGTGTTCAAATCCCGGCATGTCCATGGATTTTTAATAGCGAACAATACGGAGAAAGTTGATACTACCGCTTCTGTGAAACCTTTTGGGTAGTTGTACATTAAGACCTATAAATACTTACAGGAATTACTACAAATGAGAGATTTAAATATGAAGGGAATTTTATTGCATGTAAGTTTTGATTCACAGGATTTGTTTACAAGGCTGCACTCCTGCTGAATCGGCAATGAGTATTGGGCTCATCTTCACTGAAGGAAGGAACTCCTCACTGAAGATGGCTCAATGCTGAGATGTGTTTGTGACCACCGGTTCACCAACACAGACCAATGCTGCATTATATTTGGCATTACTCTAGTTGTATTCGGTTGGCTACAGACACCTTTTTCTAGTCTGTAGTAATTATGAGAAACATCTTACCTTAAAAAAGTAAAGTAGTTTAAATATATATATAT